TCCATGCTTTTGCTATTTTCAAGTTGACTTTTGCCTATTTAAAGAAACGGAGTAACAGATAATGTGTTTTAGTCTCAGATCTTTCAGACTGCACCTTCTCCTAGCACTCGGGTAATTGGAACTGAAATTGCAAGACTGCTGAAAGAAACTGTTGGAGTATGCTTTAGAATATGTTCAAAAAGCACTTTTTTTCCAGTTTTACCTGAATGAGGGCTCCTCATTTGAAATGGATTCCTGTAAATGTTTACATTAATGCTAGTGTATTTGAGATCTGATACAGCTAAGAGAAATACTTCCTTTTTAATTTTTTTAATACAAGTGTCATACAAGATGAGAGCATCCATGATCGCTAGAGGTAACAGACTAATTTTGTAACGGAAGAAGCTGCTGATTCTGCAAGGCACAACAAAAAGTATTTTCAAGTGTTTCATAGTATAAACACCATGCAGGGTTTTACGGGAGCCTTAAAACCTGCAGTACTTTGTAGAGAGTCTGTACCATGCAGATATGTGGGTTATCTTTCATTCTTTCTAGTCTTCTGAGAATACATCCAAGGGACAAAGCCTCAGGAAATACAATTGTCCTTTTAAGCTTAGAGGGTAAATGGATGATCTTGTGATTAGAGCACAGCGTTTGGAGCCAAAGACATCGGCTCTTGTTTGCGATTGTGCCAAAACGCCGTGCAGCCAACTTTTGCGTTTCCAGGGTAATCAGGAGTTGGGTAACACATCTAGTGCAAGGATGCAGGTAATAGCTAAATGAGGCTGTAAGGATCTTCTCGGAAAATGATCAGAGAAAGCCACAACTTGAAGAGGAGGCTGCGGTATGAGTGACGTGCCCTGTGTGACACGAGGGCGGTGGGAATGGCCATATCTCACCGTACTGCCCAGCGCATTACGGCTGATGACTCCGGGTGCTGCCAATGCAAATCTCAAAGACTCTTGCGTCAGCCTGGGGCTGGCTGGACCGCTCACCCATGGAGAGTTCCCCATCCCCGTCACCGCCAGGAGAAGCCTGGGGAAGCCGAAAGGCTGGCGTGTTGTCAAGCCCCCTTTTCGATTTTGCCTGGAGGAAATCCACCTGTCAAGGCTGCTGCGAGGCTGCAGGTCCTGGGAGCATCTTACACTCCATCCTGTGACTTAGGCTGAACCCGGGCATTTCTGTGCAGTGAGCAGTTTCTGGTTTTTGTCAGAAAGTTCTCAAACGGCGGTATTCACAGCCCTCCCTCGTCCTGTGCTCCACTCTCTCCTGCTCCTGAGGGTGTGGGTCAGCATCTCCTGTGTGGGGTACTCCGTTTTTTTACGTGATCTTCTCTGCTGGAGGTCAAAACAGAAGCAAAAGGAAAAAAAATAAAAAGAGCTGGGAAACACAGGGGTTAACGCTGTGAAGTCTGTGGGTGCAAACAGGGTTCTGTTAAAAATGAAATGAAATTGGGTGGAGGTAGATAAAAAGAAATCTGAAATAATTGTTCTGTAGAATATGGCCTTTCCACATAGGCAGAAATCTTTCTCTTCACTTCTGTCTGAAGAGAGAGTCAAATAGAGAATCTCATCTCTTAATTAGAAAGAAAAATACTCATCAAACACATCTCATCACTGGAAAGCTAATGATCCACAGCTGCTAGTCTGAAAGGGCAGGCTTTTTTTCTGAACAGTAGGAAGTGTTAATCATTTTGGATGAGATTTCTTTTTAAAATATACTGTAGTTTGCAAAAGAATAGGGTATTCAATATTCTAACTTAAATTATTTTTTGAAGTGTTGTACACCAGGGATAGCGTCATGTGTCTCCCTGAATGATCATTTAATGCATGTGTCTCTCACTGAGAGTATCAACTGATGTGATGTTGTAAATGGCCAGTTCATGCCTGTGACTCTGAAAATCTTGATCTCATGGGGGAGAAGAAAAAAAGTCCTCCCTTATCTTCTTCTGTGTAGGAAATGGCAGCTATATTAAACTGTAACCTTTGAGACTCCCACTCCTCCCTTAAAATAGCTGGCTTGTTTCAGTAGCAATGAGGATCGTTTTTTTTAGACAGAGTTAGAGCCATTATTTCCTTGGAAGAGATCGTACCAGATACAGTCTGTGTTCTACTGGATACTTTATAGGCATGGGCAAGTCCCGGAACCGCCCTTTTGTACTTGTTCCTTACCTTTTCTGGGTTTTTCTTTTTCCCCCTATACTTATTTAATGGATGGGTATGTAGGTTTTGCTCCCCTTCATGTGTGAAGTGAAGTAAAGGTTTCTACATATGACTTCACTTCTTCCCTCTCCCCACAGCTATCAGACCCTCTATGCTGAAGAACTGAGTCCTTGCATTCTCTTGCTGTTCTGCACCAGATTTTGGGTTTGCTCATGTTTACTTAAGTTTCGTCTAATACTGGGAATCCCCTTGTTTTCTCCCATGTGCATTTCACGAGTGCATTTCTCTTCTGGGGAGGATCGTGAGGCCATTTCACTCGCCGTGCTATCGCTGTGCTGGTCTCACACGGCACACATCTCATTTGTGTTGCAAATACAGACTCCCTGCTTTCCGAGACAGGTGTCTGAAAGGAGGAACTGGTTAAAATTCAGCCAGACTACGCGGAAATTAAGGTGGCAGGCCAGCAAAATAGTCTACAGGAGATGAGGGGTGCAATATCCACATTTTTGAAAGCTGTTTCCATACAAGTCGTAAAGAGGCAATGTCTTAATACAGGATTTTACTGGCCTACAGAGTACAGTACTGTAAGGAATTAATACTCTTAAGGATCTTTTGGCACTTAGAAACTTCAGGAGAGGAGAGTTTGGATGATAAATCATTGACGTTCTGGACTACAGGGTACATGACGACCGTGTTCCACAGTCTCTGCTCAGGTCCGTATCTCCTGAGACTGTCTAGGTTGCTGGCGTCTTTTCTCTGGAGCCGGGGATTGTTCAGACATTACTTGATTTTCTTTCCATCTTTCTAACCAAAGTTCAGATGGGGCCATAAGAAAGACTGTATGCACTGCCGTTGCTCAACAGGTTATCTCTAGTATTTGCTTTTTGGAAACTTGGGTGCTCTTTGCCCACTTCCAGAGCTCCCTTCGGCGTGTATCCATTGACTCAGGGCATTTCTGGGGTTAAAGGGTGAAAGGATTTTCTGCTTTTCTTTTGAGATGCGAATTCTGTTGTAAGTTGACTATATCAAATTTACTGCATCAAATCCCCATGGATGTTGCTTTCAGAAGGGTAGTTAGCGAGCTCATAGAAGAACTCTCAAATTCCATGAGCTGTTGTTTGCTGCTTATTCATTACCATTTCTAACAGATTTCCTTTTAAACTAAACAACCTAAAATCGGCAGTTTTCTTTCAAATGAAATACTAACTGTTAGAAGTGCCAATATCCTCTTATGTATGACACACACGCTGCTTTTTCAGTTCGTTCAGTATTTATTGTGTTTGTCTTGCGGTCTCACAGGACTTCCCTATGCATGGCATTCAGTGGTAGAAAGTAGGGGGGTGAGGTAGGTTAGCTGATCTTGAGAAAGGAGATTACTTAAAATACAGATTTTTTTTCTTTTATGTGGGAGCTTGTATTTGATAAGAGCGTTTTGTTTTAACTCTAAACAAAAATCCAGTGGAAGACTGTTAAAATCCACATTTTATTCTTACTTGGCTTTATATACATCTTGGTGACTGATTTGGGAAAATGACCCCCTGTTTAGTTTACCTAGGTATTGGCGTTGCTTTAGGTTTGCTGGTTCTGTGGCACAACACCTTCATTCATTTTACTAGGTATTAAAAATACAAATATTCAAAAGTTGAACTATTTGGATGAAGAAGGCTTAGCAAGTTTTCTGGGTGTATATCCAGCTATGGTACATAGTGTGACTTGCTATAATACTTTCGTGTTTGGTTTTTTGTTGTATTAGAAGAAAACAAATCAAAGTTAACGCTAGAGCTGGCTTAAATAAAAGGGGTTTTGTTCATAGAGAAAACTGGATTTAAAAATAGTTTTAGTTTGACCTCATCTAAGTCCAAATATTTTTGATTCTTTCTTGCAAACCAAGAATTTTGTACCAGCACCAGAACAGCATCAGGCTGGATGTGTCTCTGCCAGACAGATACAGGCTCTGACAAATGCTTAAGACTTCCAGGCTTCAAAATAGTCATCTTTGTACCACTTGATGGGTCTGACAGAGCTGAGGCTCAAGTCCAGCATATGAAGCATGTCAGAGCTCCACAGCAGAGAGCTGTGGTGTACGGAGCTGGCCGTGGGGGTGGGTTTCTCCTGGGGTACCCCCAGTGCTGGAGAGCAGCCCTAGTTATCAAAGCGCACATCTCTGGGAGACGTAACCTGGCCACGCTTCTGCCAGCCTCCAGCCATGGAGCACTGCAGGTGCTTTGAGGAAACACTTCAACAAATCATGGTTTTCAAAGGGGTAGACTTAGGTGGCTTCTCAGCATTCCTTTTAATCCCATTTTCGATGAGTCTGTGGTCAGTACTCGTTTACTATGCTTTCATTAAAATAGTTGTACATTTTTACCTTTTAGTGTGATTTTTGCTAGTTTTCTGTGCAAAAGATTTTTTTTCAGATTTAGTGGTGATGTTTACCACTTCTGCTTGTTTGTGTGACATTACAGTGAAATGACCAAGTTCTTTCTTATAAGCAGCAGATTAATTTTTATCCATGGAAATAACTAACCTTTTCTTTCTTAAATTGTGATCTTATTTCTATACTATTTTGCATTATTTTGTCCACATAAGCACTATTTTATGAGAGAACAATTAATACTCGTCTTAGACTACACTACATCCATTTTCCTTTTGCAAGAATTAAGGTACGAGGCAATGGAAAGTGTAGCAGTTGTTTCATGCAGGTAAGTAAGTGGCTAGTCAGCAAAGTGGTTAAACAACTTTCCTGCCTAAGGAGAGGTGGATTTCTTTAGAATTGTTTTAATTTATTGGCCTTAACTGTGCACGAGAGTTTAATGTAATGCTGATTTGAATCACTTTTTTTCCTCCTCTGTCTTCTAGCTTTTTCTTTTTGTGGTCTGGAACTTTGAGCTCTACATGATACCACTGGCTTTGTTGTTGCTGCTGGCATGGAACTACTTCTTGATCGTAGCAGGAAAAGATAACAGGCAACATGATACGGTAAGTCTTCTCTACTTCAAGCGCATACATGTCCTTTTCTTTTTTTAACTAGATAAAATTTTGTAACTGAGTTTAAATATGACATCTTTTTGAAAATGTCTCAGTTCACAATGCTCGATGGACAATTTTCCCACCTGCAATTTAACTTTTCTCCAGCTGTCCAATAAATGTGTCTGGTTTTGTTGAAAATGTCGTGTAAAAATACAGTAGAACATGTACTATCCTCAGAATCTGGTTTGTGTGGGAGCAGAGATGAGAGGCTTATTGGTCAGGAGAAAGCAAATTCTTTGAAAATGGTTTTGTGTGGCTAAGTCCGTATGTTGCGTTTTCTATTTCACATGTTGAAGTTAAAGGTTAAAAGTATTCCAGTTTGTTAACAGTTTCAGAATCTATCACATTTTCTTGTATTTCAGTTTATCATTAACATGTTACCATTCATTGAGCTTAATATAAGCCTTTTCTTATTTTCTTCTCCCCATCTAATGCCATCATTTAATTAAATGCATGTAATTCGGGTATAAAGTAGCAAACATTTACTAATAACTAACATTTATTAATAATAAAAGCATGGTTCAGATTTTCAAAAGTACATATCAAAAGTTGAAGTTATGTTCTATCTTGTGCAAATTTTCTAAGATCCAGGCAGCTTAAGGTTTTTGCATGCATTTTATTGCTGAGCCTTATGAATGTGATACTTGTATCATTATTCATATCCCAAAAGCAGTGTGCTGTCGAGGACATTATGATCTGGATGGATAACTGAATGGGTGGAAGAAAACAAAGCGGGTTAGGTAACTGGTCTCAGAGGACAATGGTTAATGGATGTTGGTAACAAGTGGAGTACCACAGTGCACAAGGACCTGTCCTGTTTAACATCTCTATTAGTGACGTGTAGGAGGTGACAGAGTGCACTCCCATCAAGTTTTTGGGTGACAGGCGGTGTTTGGGACCAGTGGATACCCTGGATCTGCCAGCCAAAGAGACCTGGGTAGGCTAGAGAAATGAGCCCATAGGAACCTCATGAAATTCCAGAAGGAAAAGTGTGAAGTCTTGCTCTTGGGGAGGAATAAACCATTGCAATGATACAGGCTGGGGATTGATTGTCTGGGAAGCAGCTGTCTGAATTGGGCCTGGGAATCTTGGAAGACAGCAAGGTAAACATGAGCCAGCAGCGTGCCCCAGCAGGAACAAGGGCCCCTAGCACCCTGGGATGCATTAGCAGGAGCACAGGCAGTGGATCGAGGGAAGCCACTGTCCCCTCTGCTCAGCACTTCTTAGACTGCATCTAGAGTACTGTCCAGTTTTGGGCACCATGGTTCAAGAAAGACATGGATTAACTTGAGCGAGTTCAGTGGAGGGCTACCAAGATGGTGAGGGGGCTTGAGCACATGCCCTGTAAGGAGAAGCTGAGAGAAGTGGGCTTGAAAGAGCCTGGAGAAAAGAAGGCTTTGGGTGACCTAGATTGGACATAAAGAAGAAGTTCATTATCATGAGGGTGGTGAGGCAGTGGCACAGGTTGCGCAGAGAAGTTATGGCTGCCCCATCCCTGGAAGTGTTCAAGGCCAGGTTGGATGGGCCTTTGAGCAACCTGGTCTGGTGGAAGGTGTCCCTGCCCATGGCATGAGAGTTGGAACGAGATGAGCTTTAAGGTTCCTTCCAACCCAAACCATCCTATGATTCTGTGATTCTGTGACCTGAACAGCAGCCCTCCACTACCTATGAGAAGATGGAGCTAGACTCTTCATAGTGATGGGTGGTGGAAGAGACAACAGGCATAATTTGAAACAAAAGAGGTTCAGACTGGAGAAACCTTTTTGCCATGAGAATTGTTGAGTAGTGGAAGAGGTTTTCCAGGAAAGTTGTGCTGTTGCTGTTGGAAGTTTTCAGGACCCGACCGGATCTGAGCAACCTGATCTGACCTCATGGTTGACCCTGCTTTGGGCAGGAGGTTGGAGGTGCCTTCCAGCCTGAATTATCCCATGACCGTAATGTCTAGCAACTCCAATTGTTAGTGACCTGAGGAACTGATACAGCCTTAATCCTGGCATGGATATTTTCTGCCTAAATCACTAAGACTGTTGTGCTTCCAAGGGTCATCTAAAACGAAGAGTGGGAGTGATAGAGGTATTCCTAATCTCAAAGGTTGTTACATCTATGAAAAAGCCTAAGATCAAGATTTAAAAGATGCATTACCTAAGTCACAGCCCTTAATACCCTCCTGCGTGAAATGCTTAAAGTTTGCCAACCTGAAGATTTTATGAGTAACTGAAATTCCTTGTGAATGGAGGGATTTCACTTGTGAGCTTCAATACACTTCATTTCTCTCTGAAATAGCACCTACCTGTGAAGATTAATTGGGTCACGTAACTTTTCTAACAAAATAATGAAGCTATTGATGGGCTCTCTGTTGAGGACCTCAAGTCCTGCTCCAAAAATGTTCCTCTTCCTGAGATTGCTTCAGATCAAGCTATACAGCTTATATCAACCGATCATGTTCATCCCAAATATTTGATATCTGTGCCATTCATTACTATTTTTTTGTTTAGGTTTGTCACAAGTAAGTTGGGACCTCATTTTTAATGATTTGAGCTTGGTTATCATTGTGGTAAGCATCTGTCTTCTATGAAGTGATCTGTAGACTTACTAGATGCCTTTCTAATTAACTCACAAATCTTCAGTAATATCACAAGTCCTTAGCTCAGGTCATTAACACAGTATCTTTAGATTAGGAGTCATTTAAATATTTCAGTTTTCCTATGCAGAGTGTAAATATTAACTAAATTAATTAAGCAGTGTTTCCTAGTGGCTAGAGAATGCTTCAAGATTCATATGATCTGGCTTCTGTTCCCAGGTCTCCAGAGATTTCTTCTGTGCCTGAGTGAAATCATTGACTACTTATCTTAGGAATATCGTCTGTCTCTAGAAGTTACTTTGAAATCCTCAAGCTAAAGATAAGACAAAAAGATAAATATATTTGTTAACTTTTCTTACTCAATTAACACTAGACAAGCGTAGTTAAAAATTATATGCACTTTGTACTTGTTTAATGTCTACGGAAAATACTTACATTTGGGACCTTGAAGAGTAGCTCAGAAGAGTTAGTTTCCATTGTAGTACCCCTACAAGAAAACAGTTATCAATTGTCTCATGAATTCAGGCACTGGGGACTGCAGTCTTCTGCCAGTCAGAAAAATAGTGATCACTGAGTTTCTGGCCAGATACGGTAGATGGACCAGCCTTAACTCATCCTTGTTTGACTGTTTCTATAGACAAGGTATCATTTGCTGTGCCTGATGGGCATCAGTTTCTTTGAAGTAGTTTGGAACTTATTTTCTTGTGGAATAATTCACCTGCCAAACGATCTGGATTACTCTGTCATAACATGACCCTGCACTGCTCGTTTGAGTGCGAGTATGATTATTTTGCCATTTACTCTGACTCCTAATAAGTTATATGTGCAAGTCCTTTCTTGAATTAAAAGTGCAATGACTTTGGGGCAAGAAGGAGCCCCAAGTGTATTTACTAATAGGAGGTAAGTCTATTGGAAAGTCCAACAGAGAGGTGAAGCAGCATATTAGGCATTATTGCTTTCATGGATTCAGCTGGATTGATCATCATTGTGGTTTTAATCAAACATTGGCACAAACTTCAAAAAGAAGCATTGAATTCCCTATCTTTTATACATTTAGGTCAAGATTAGTCATGTTTCTGAAAGACAGGCTTTCATGAAATATGAAATCTTGCGTTCAGTGTTGGTGTAAGCAGATGTAGATAGATGTAGGTTTAGTGGACGATTCTCTAAATGAATCTGTGAGAATTCAGAACTGATCTAAAATGAATGAACTTCTGGCATTGAGTCATGTGGCAGGTATAAAAAGATCGCAGAATAAACATTTCCTTCCAGCATTAAGCAAGGAAAAAAAAAAAATCACTAAAATGGCATTCTTAATACTTTCCTCTGAATTTTGCCTCAAGGTTACCTAGCTCCTTTCTCCAAGGATCCTTGTATTTCCTTATATAATCATACTCCTAAATATCTGACTTCACAAAAGAATTTATTTTCAGCACAACTGCTGTTCTCACCTTAAACCATCACCACCAAAACACACAGACTAGAACTGAGTGGATCTTACTGCTTTTATTACTTTTTTTTCCTGCCTTTTTTTCCAGTGTCTTTTTCACATCCTCTGAGGGAGAGGAGCAGTGTCTGTCCCCACTGCTCGCTGCTCCTTGTCTGCTGCGCGGGATCCCTGCGGTGGGGAGCAGGATGGGAGTGCTGCCCCTGCACGTTGCCAGCCCTGTGCCTATGGCACAGGTACTCAGGGAGAAGAAGGACAGAGGGAGAGCAGAGGACTGGCTTACTTCATAGCAGCTTTGGCTCTCTGGGAACCCCATATCACATCTCAGAATAGATGGATGAACAGAAAAGTTCATCCCACACTGCTGTAATTGAAAGACTTCTAGATATATCCAAACTAGCAGAAGGTATGCTGGGGTTTAAAGCTTCTCTTCAGTCTTTTTAAGAAACTACTTAATATTTTGATGTTTTCAAATGTGTTGTACAAAAAAATCCTTGCTTTTATAGCTTGGAGGAAACAGCAGCACTGCTGTCTGGGTTCTTTTTTTCACTTCTATTTCTAAGCAAAAGTCGCTGTTATTAGAACTGCATGAAGGTAGTGGAAAAAAAAATATTTTTTTTTTCCCTCCTTTTCTTCTTCAGGCTGTGTTCTGACTGCCTGCTGGAGCTGCCTAACTTAAGGAATGGTCAGATAATCCCTCAAAGTGATTAAAAATGTTCCCACTCTCCAGCTGTTCGTGTCCCCTTCCCTGAGATGAAACAGTTGATTGTGTGGTTGGAGTGCGTCATATTGCGAATGAAACCTGGTTTGCATAGTTACCAATTTTTTTTTTTCCCTCTGTATGTATACCGGATTGCCACAATTAGGACAAACTCTGACAGTCTCTCTCAGCTGTTGGGCAATAACATTTAACTGCTGTAA